TATTTTAAGCAGATTTTAAATTGAAATAGCCATTAGTTTTTCTTTTTTTTTTCGCTTGTAAAACTTTGTCTAAGTACCATTATAGTATACAGGATATTCTATGAGCTTAAAATTATTGCATATCAGAAAACCGGATAAAAATTCCGAAATAGGGTAGTATTCTACCGTCGTAAGTGGAAAAAAAAAAAACTAAGCATAAGCGGTGACTAAATACTACATAAAAACATCTTATCTATCTATCCGGTGCATCATTTTCCTTTTTACATTCTTGAGTTTTACTGTAAACATTTTTCTTCTTTTTTTTTTTTTTTTTCCTATCAGCTAACATTCCTTTTCTTTTTTCTTTCTCCTCAATAATTTTACCGGTTTCTTTTGAAGCACCAAATAGGTTAATTATGAAGTTAATTCCATTTCTCCTAAAAAATAAAACTTAATCTACATTTTGGTTAAAATATCTGCTTTAGTTTCTTAATGTTAACCTAAAAAATTCCGGAATTCCTTAAAGTAATTGCTAAAATTAGGCCTATATATTACAAACTAAGACAATAATAATTTTAGATAAAAATTTTAAAAAATGTCGAATGGTAGGGAAATAAATGATGAGTGAGTGTGGGAAAAAAAAGTAACGGTGACATTCGATATGAAAGATTTTATGGTGAGGAAATCGGATCCGGTAAATGCTTCTTTCAATTTTCTTTCTCTTATGGGATAATGAACCAACAATAATGCAACTAAAGGATAAAAGTGTAAGGTCTCTCTTAAATTTAGCATTTATTTTGTGAAAACTTATTGCATTGTTTAATATAATTCCGGATAATTCGTTATATTGTCAATTTCAGGATTAATTTGAAAAATGTATCCAGAAGGTATCCAGGAATGAACTATTTGTTGTTATAGTTTAAACAAATTTCTTTCTCCTTCATTGTCCATTGTCCTTATTCCATCTTCATCAACTTCAATCATTTCTCATATTTGGACAATAAATGTTGTTAGTATCTTGAAATTTTCCCTTATTGAACTTGAAATCATTATCAAATTTTAAATGATGAACGAAATTATCCCAAATAACTTCATTATTCTCTACTGTTTTACTCTATTTCATATAAATTTATACAATTTTTCCAAATATTCAAATTGTTATATTAATGACATCCTTTGATAAAGAGAGTTGGTTTTTGTTGTGATAAGATAAAAAGAATGCCAGAGGAAACTTCAAAAAATTCTCTGATATCAGATCATTAACATTCGATAACTGATTATTATCGAACTTGATCGGTCCCTTATCGATAGCTATCAAAAAAGTAGTTTGCAGTTTGTTTCTCCGTTAAAAATTTCACATTTCAATGCATATATCAAACTTGCAGTTAACATGCAGTTGTCCATTTCAATATGTTTGGGTGTGGTGACATTTAGATGCAAGCTTAGTCATTCAAAATAATCACAACTATCTGTACATTTATTTATCTGTATGATAAAAATGATAACAGCTATCATAATAACATGTTTTGCTATTTACACTTACATTCTTATATTAGAGAGATGAATGTAGCATCATTTGTAGTAAAATTGAAAATTAAAATGATATAAAAATGATTTTCGGAATATGAGCTAGACGCTACTATTAACGCAAATCATTTGGAATGATAAGGAATGAAAGACTCAAATTCATTATCTTCATCATCCAATAACATACTATAAAATAACTGTAACAGATTGTGATCATAAATACTTTGTGGAATGTGAAATTAAATTCGAATTTAAATTAGTAATGGAATAAATATGAGGGATGAATTAAGGAGAATTAAGGGAGAGTAGGAGTAAAAAGACTTCAAAAAAGAAAAAAAAGAGGAATTATAGACTAATAGAGGGAGAGACAAGGGAAATTGAAGAGAGTTAAGCTTTGGGTGACATGAAAAGAAATTGTTATTTTAAGATAAATTCCATGTCAATGGTATACAGGTCAATGGTATGCAGTAAGGAAGAGGATAAAGAGGAGGAAAATGATGTTGTGATCTATACAGATCGTGAAGTGTCTGAGGAAAGAGCTAAAGAAGTTGAAGAAATGGAAGGAGGAGGGAGGGGTTGACCTAATGAACGTTGAAACGAGAAGAGGGGACAATTGACAATTGCACCAAGAACATGCTCAGAAAGAACATCGTTAACAATTGATGACGCATGCCAGATGTTACAAATACAGAGGAAGGAGGAAGCCTTAAGCTTGTCCTCTTAACATCTTCTATCCATCACTGACCACTTCCAAAATACTTTCTTTAATAGATTTACTCCCTTATAATTACTAATAACATCTTTAATGATAATAAATTAACTTCTAATTATCAATGATATTTAACTTTTTTTAAAAAAAAGAAAAAGAAAAAACTTTTTTTTTTTTATAAAATAAATTCTCTTATTAGTGGTAGTCAGATGAGAAAGGATGTATAAAGAGGCAGTATGATATGTTTTCATTCCTGAAAATTTTCTAATTAAGATAACAGGAAATTAACGCAAAATTGATGATTTATTTACGGAATAACTAATGTTTTGTTGCTATTCTGGATCACTATTTCGATAACTTTTCCGGATACATTTCCGATTTCCTAAACATGGTATGTTCGGATATTATTTGGTTATTTGGTTAAGCTTCCG